AGCATATAATCAGAGTGTTTGAAAGCATTTTATTTGCGATATATAGAGGGACAGCGACACACTATTTGCATCGCATACAGTTGGTGAGGATTACACGATCCACCGAGAGGCACAGCAAAGTGCTGCCTCATCGCGCATCTCCTCCATGTATTTGAACGGGACATACGGAAATTCTGCTATTCTTAATGAAAAAAAATCCTTCAACATCGGATTCGAACGGCAAAAGGGCCTACAATACACACCAGCCGACAAATATTAACATTTATTATATTTTATGGTTACCTTTTTTTTTCTTTTCAAGATTGACACACCTGCCTCCCCTGACCGCACGTCACTGCCTGTTTCACGTGACGTCACACGACGGCCATTGTTCCTCTGACAGGTGTATCACCTCCGCTGGTCAGCGTTATCATGGGGTTCATACAGTCTAAAGCAGTTGTCACAGACATTAATGGATGGTGTTTAACGGTTTGAGGATATATTTTCACTGTGTTACCGACCAGGCTTCCCCTTGAAGATCTTACGGTTAACGTGAATTTGACATGCATAGCAGTGTTAACTATTTTGGGAAGCGGTCAGTGCAGTGACGTACGTGCTACTAAGGTTTCAGTAGTTCAATAAAAAGCGTCTAGATAAGCTTGCAGTGCAGTATGCTGAGCATAAGGAGACAAATATTATGTTCACTGAGACAAGGCAGAATAAAGTCCCTCTTAGAGCAAAGTTCTCCGTCTCCCTCTTCTCCTCACGGCCATCGAGCCCAGGGCTGCTAAGGCTAGCTAGCACAAAGACCAGAGGACTCCCAGCTTCAGATTGGAGCTGCAGATCTGCAAAGGTAACAAATATCATCTCCGTCCAGACTTGACAAAGGCTGTAATTTGAGTTTGAAGGTTGCTCAGGCTAAGGGATATTTTTCAACTTTCTAATTTATGCTAACTCTAGCTTTGCTGACGGGGATATATTATGTAAATAAGATGCTTGCATCCTTTTAGTAATGTTAACATTTTATATAACGGAGTCTAAAGAATGTTTCTGTGAATAATGTACCAGTTAAAGTGTTTGTAAACTCAGCATAAGGCTTAAAGATATTTTACGACAGCAATCAGTGAACTGATAACATCAGGTGGTGGTGTTCTGCCGGAGGACCTAGCTTGCTTAGTTTTTTTATGGAGATTGTTTTTTTTTTTTAGTTATGAAAATAAATAATAGAGTTCCCTTGTTCCCCCACCAAGGATCGCTTGGATTTTTAACATGGAAATGTGTTTTAAAAACAAAATAATGATTCCTACAGTAAAATATTATTATTGGTCAGGGACCACCTGCAATGCCTTCTCAGAGCACTAGGGGCTGCTGACCACTGGTTGCTCCATAACTATTGCCGAATTTGTCACCTATCTGTACATGACCTTACCTACAGTGGTGTGAAAAAGTGTTTGCCCCCTTACTGATTTCTTATCTTTTTGCATGTTTGTCACACTGTAATGTTTCAGATCGTCAAACAAATTTATATATTAGTCAAAGATAACACAAGTAAACACATCATGCAGTTTTTAAATGAAGGTTTTTATTATTAAGGGAAAGCAAAATCCAAAACTATATGGCCCTGTGTGAATAAGTGTTTGCCCCCCCTGTCAAAACATAACTTACCTCTGGTTTATCGCACCTCAGTTCAATTTCTCTAGCCACACCCATGCCCGATTACTGCCACACCTGTTCGCAATCAAGAAATCACTTAAATAGGACCTGCCTGACAAAGTGAAGTAGACCAAAAGATCCTCAAAAGCTAGACATCATGCCGAGATCCAAAGAAATTCAAAAACAAATGAGAAAGAGAATAATGGAGCTCTATCAGTCCGGAAAAGGTTATAAAGCCATTTCTAAAGCTTTGGGACGGCAGCGAACCACAGTGAGAGCCATTATCCACAAATGGCGAAAACATGGAACAGTGGAGAACCTTCCCAGGAGTGGCCGGCCGACCAAAATTACCCCAAGAGCACAGCGACAACTCATCCAAGAGGTCACAAAAGACCCCACAACAACATCCAAAGAACTGCAGGCCTCACTTGCCTCAGTTAAGGTGAGTGTTCATGACCCCACCATAAGAAAGAGACTGGGCAAAAATGGTTTGCATGGCAGAGTTCCAAGACGAAAACCACTGCTGAGCAAAAAGAACATAAAGGCTCGTCTCAGTTTTGCCAGAAAACATCTTGATGATCCCCAAGACTTTTGGGATAATACTCTGTGGACAGACGAGACAAAAGTTGAACTTTTTGGAAGGTGTGTGTCCCATTATGTGTGGCGTAAAAGTAACACCGCATTTCAGAAAAAGAACATCATACCAACAGTAAAATATGGTGGTGGTAATGGGATGGTCTGGGGCTGTTTTGCTGCTTCAGGCCCTGGAAGACTTGCTGTGATAAATGGAACCATGAATTCTGCTGTGTACCAAAATATCCTGAAGGAGAATGTCCGGCCATCCGTTTGTGACCTCAAGCTGAAGCGAACTTGGGTTCTGCAGCAGGACAATGATCCAAAGCACACCAGCAAGTCCACTTCTGAATGGCTGAAGAAAAACAAAATGAAGACTTTGGAGTGGCCAGAGAAATTGAACTCAGGTGCGATAAACCAGTGTTTTGACAGGGGGGCAAACACTTGTTCACACAGGGCTCTATAGTTTTGGATTTTGTTTTCCCTTAATAATAAAAACCTTCATTTAAAAACTGCATGATGTGTTTACTTGTGTTATCTTTGACTAATATATAAATTTGTTTGACGATCTGAAACATTACAGTGTGACAAACATGCAAAAAGATAAGAAATCAGTAAGGGGGCAAACACTTTTTCACACCACTGTATATGTAACATATTTTTAGAATGGTATAGTGATGCGGACTATTCTGCATTAATGTGCTGTTATAATTAGCTGCAAGACGTTATTTAATTTCCTCTCTCCTGGCTCTACAGGAAACGGCTAAACCAGCTTCCCAGCACAGGTTTGAAGCTCGGGGGCCTGGTGAATGCTTGCTGCTCATTGAGCACCACTGGCAGCCACCAAGAGAAGCAAACGTCTGCTTAACAAGAACGGGTCAGTACTAGCTTTCTGTGATCTTGCTCTACTGTGACTGTGTAGCTGACATACTCCACCACAGATATTTTATGTGCTCTCACCTCAGCTCTGATGGTTAATGCTTAGTGATTGCTTGATCTGTTTCACACTTAAGATCACAAGGTCATTGCCAGACAGTGCCACTTATTGTAAATTGGCAGCAAGTATGTCTTAAACTGGGGTGTGACCCTCTTCTGTAGTATGTGGCAAAATTGGGATCCAACCCTCTCCTGAAAAATGTGCCTTACTATAGTATTTTGTAAGATTGGGTTCTGACCACCTCCCGAATAAAGTGCCTTACTATATAGTATGTCATGAAAATGCCTCACAGTGCGACATTAAAAATGTGCCTTACTATATAGTATTTTGTAAAATTGGGGTCCGACCCTCTCCTGAAAAATGTGCCTTGCTGTAGTTTGTGGTAAAAATGTTGTCCGACACAGTGTTTCAAAGTAGCAATTATAAAATGCTAACAAGTCTGTTACTACAGCCTGAATATAATTTTACATCCAACTTCATTGTCATGCAGGTTGACCATAAGCTGAGAAGCGTTTGGCCAGCCTGCCTATGAGATGTATCTGATGTCGCTGCCTCTGGCACCTCTTCACCGGGTGACATCCACAGGACCTCTGCACCATCTTCACCCACCAGCATCTGTAACCACCTACAGACTCAGGAACTACACAAGGTAATCACTATTTAGTTTTCAACTGTTTAAAAAAAAACTAGGTTTAATTTAAAAAATAATTAGCTTTAATATAAATACTAGACAACAAATATTTAACATTTTCAGTTTGAATACATGTAAGAATGAACATCAAAACTATAGTGTTGTTGTGCAAATGCATCCACATAGTCTTCAAAGCACCAAGTGTTTCTGTTATATACTCTTTATTACAATACAGTACTTACAAGTTCAAGGGGAAATAAATATTAAATAAGTTGCCAGTATAGTGTTGTTTTTTTCTGTTTTCTAAGAAGGAACATGTACAGTAATAGGATGTGAAATGTTCCATGATGAAAAAATAGTTTCCTTGGCTTTTGAACCGTATTAAGGCAAAAGTAAGTATGAACGAGAAGCCACCGATAAGTATTTTTACAGTGTGCATGAAAAATAAAAGGAAATAATGTGACAACTTGCATTAACTGTCTAACTTGTAATGTTACGTAACTGGTTTTCCATTATACTGTAGGCTACGTCTTCAGGATTTTTTCTAATTTTATTTAAAATAAAGTTTGAGTTGTCAGTGCTACAAATACAACTCAGTGATCCGTTCCCTGGATCCTTTTACTGTAAAACAAATTGGAGGCTTTTCCAACACAGGACAGGAAGTATACAATGTCACCACTATTAAAAAGGAAACAACACAGAGTGAGACTGGAAGATTACATCAAGATATCTCAAGAGTTTTCCACCGTGCTCTCACCGTATACATACAATATATCAGTGTGAGAGCAGATGTATTGCATGTACTGTACTGGTTTTTGTTTAGAATTGTCTATTGCTGTTCATCTCAGATTAGTGGAGACAAACAAGATGGTGTTAGAACATACAATCATAGTGTATGATCAAATTGTAAAATAGAGATTTTAATACAAATAGAACATTTGGTATCTTTCCTTAACCCATTTGTCCTACTGATCCAATGTAAACATTACACTAAAGTATTTAAGATTTGGAAAGACTAAAAACTTGAATATCTTTCAAAGAAAACCTCCATCAGAGAACTGTTATCTGCAAAACATAGGCATTACTTTAAGTCAGTTTCCACATTTATCATAACATACACACACTCGTACTATTGCACTAAACCTCATAGCCAACTAAATCCTTTTTAATTAATAGAATTTTTCCAATTCTTGACAAAATGCAACTCAACAGAGGAACACTAAGTTTGTACAAAAATGTTCTACATGAGGCTGGTCATTTGTACTGAAACATGATGCTCTGCCCTTCCCTGCAGACCTCCACCACCAGTAACTGCATGGAGACAGCCCCTCTGGAGCTGCAAATGTTAAGCCATCCGTTGACCTTCAACCTGTGGCTCTGGCATCTTGCTAGTGAGTTCTTGGTGACTTTCAGAAGACCCAGCTAACAGGCACCCACTGCTGTTCTGCTAACAGTTTCTCCAGTGCCAAACGTAGACTTCGGAATGCTGCCTCCAGCCCGTCATTTACAATGCAGAGGTCAAAGTAATGTCCATAGGCTCTCTTAATGCGCTCACTTTCATCCACCGTCCTCTTTAGCTCAGAGTCCTGAAAGAGAGGCGCAAGGTAAAAACAAACACAGCGAGCAGGTAGTTACTAGGCAGAATAGTAAAACAATGAAATTGGTGCACAACTGAAATCAAATTAGTCTGCGTAATTTAAATTATAGTAAAGTAGCATTGTTGTTAGCATTCCTCCATAGAGCCAGTGCAATGTCATACTCTGAAAACCTAAAAAAACAAAGAAAAGTGGATAAGACACAAGGCATTAACAGGAGTAAGGGAAAACTGATCCCGACACTGTCTGTGTGCGGTAGGCATCTTGGTGTCTTTGCATGTGCTTTAGCTATCTACAGTAGCTTGCTAGCACATAGCATGAGGGAGGAAAAAAAGAGTGTTACAATATACTTCTAAATTAGATCGTGGGAAGTTTGGGTGCAGTTGATTACTGAAATGATTGTGGGACAAGCTGACTGTTAACTGTGTTAGCAAACTACTGCCGTTCTTCCTGCTAATGCCTCACTTTTGTCCTCTTAGAAGCTTTTTTTTTGGTCACATTTTAAAACTGTACCTCTGGGTTCTTTGCTTTGTTGGTAATGCATGCACCACACAGCAGCTTTTAGGCATTTTTCAGTTTTTTGTAAAAAGACAATTGTCAAATAGGTGCCTTCACTCAATACAAAGCCAAATGATCGAGGTGAATTGTTTTCCCGTGTGGGTACGGCCTAAATGTGCTCTCTCTATATGGAGTAAATCAAAAACAGATATTCCAGTTATAAATGCAATCATCTTTGCTATTAAGAATTTTAGGCTACAATATGAAATATTTTATTTGGCTTTTAAAGGAATAGTTAAAAAATGTGCATGTTGGACTCCGGCAGGGCTGCCCTTTGTCACCGGTTCTGTTCATTATTTTTATGGACAGAATTTCTAGGTGCAGCCAGGGGCCAGAGGGAGTCCAGTTTGGGGACCACAGGATCTCATCTCTGCTTTTTGCGGATGATGTTGTCCTACTAGCTTAATCAGTTCAAGACCTACAGCGGGCACTGAAGGGGTTTGCAGCCGAGTGTGAAGCGGTGAGGATGAGAATTAGCACCTCCAAATCCGAGGCCATGGTTCTCAATCGGAAAAAGGTGGATTTCCCTCTCCAGGTTGGGGGTGAGCTGCTCCCTCAGGTGGAGGAGTTTAAGTAAGAAAAATGAGTATCTTGGGGTCTTGTTCACGAGTGAGGGAAGGATGGAACGGGAGATTGACAGGCGGATCGGTGCAGCTTCTGTAGTAATGCGGTTGATTTACCGAGCTTACTGAGCTGTAAGGCGAAGCTCTCGATTTACTGGTCAATCTACATTCCGACTCTCACCTATGGTCATGAGCTTTGGGTCATGACCGAAAGGGCAAGATCCCGGATACAGGCGGCCGAAATGAGCTTCCTCCGCACGGTGGCCGGGCGCACCCTCAGAGATAGGCTGAGGAGCTTGGTCACCCGGGAGGAGCTCAGAGTAGAACCTCTGCTCCTCCACATCGAGAGGAGCCAGCTGAGGTGGCTCGGGCATCTGTTTCGGATGCCTCCTGGGCGCCTTTTTAGGGAGGTGTACCGGGCATGTCCCACTGAGGACAATGGATGGAGGGATGGAGTTAAAAAAAAATGTGGTAATTCACTTATTCCTGAGAGTAAGATGAAAAGACTGATACTATGGTAAATTGTCCTGGCCCAGATCTAGTCAAACGCGATATACAAATTAATTGACAAGCATTAGAGGTACGGCTGGGCATATTTTATCACTGAACAGCACCAGACAGTTTTCCCATTTCCAATCTCTGTGCTAGAACCAGCTGCTTGCTGTGGCTGTGCGTTTACCATACAGACATGAGAATTCTCAGCTAGAAAGTGAAGTATTTTCCCTAAAATGTTGAGCTAATCCTTTGAGAACACACACTCACCGTTAACTGCTTTGTGACCACTCCTGACTCAATAGCTGACCTATTCATAGCTTTGAGGACCTCAAAGTCTGGGGCTTCAATGAACACAACGTAGGGCAGGAACTCTGATGTGCGCAGGACCTTCAGAGCCTTTGGAGAAACCCAGACATACAGTGGGTACGAAAAGTATTCAGACCCCCTTAAATTTTTCACTCTGTTATATTGCAGCCATATGCTAAAATCATGTGATATTTCAGTTTTTCTTTTTTAATAAATCTGCAAAAATGTCCAAAATTCTGTGTTTTTCTGTCAATATGGGGTGCTGTGTGTACATTGAGGAAAAAAAATGAACTTAAATGATTTTAGCATATGGCTGCAATATAACAAAGAGTGGAACATTTAAGGGGGTCTCAATACTTTCTGTACCCACTGTATACACCGATCAGGCATAACATTATGACAACCTGAACATCTGTATGCACTTCTATGCAACACTTGCAACAAGTATCTGTATATTTTTGTCCTGCCCATTGACACACATGAGAGGGTCAGAACATTAAGAACACCTCTGAATATAATGTAGTCCTGTACAACACAACATTTAATTATGACATCAATAATGAACATATAATAGAATTTATACATTTATGGCCATTTCACCAAAAACTGAAACAGTTTGAGCTTCATAAACAAATGTTAAGGCAGAAGTGTTGCACTGAAGTGCATACAGATGTACAGGTGGTCATAATGTTGTGCCTGATCAGTGTAGAAACGTATTACAATCATTGCACAGCATGTATTGAATATAGCTGAAAATCACATTTATATATTTGAGAATGTGATTAATATGTAACTGCGGCATTTTTAACAATTTATCAAGTGAATGTATGTTAAAAAAAAAAAAGATTAGCAGAGAGTAATGCTGATGATTAGGTCTGTTTTGATACTGATGATGTGCTTAAGTCAGAAAATACTTAAGTAGCAAGAAGATGTACATAATTGGTTTCAATCTAGAATTTTATATTTAAGTACAGAAGTGCATTGCATTAAAAAAGGATCAGTACTTGCCTGAAAATAATCAGGTTTTAACTTTCTTTAGTGTCAAAGTAATTCTGTGATAGTTGTCAGTACATCCAATGGTGCATAGCAAAAGTGAACTGTTAATAACTAATTCAGTATATTTAATGTTCCAAAGCGTATACAAATATAAAGTCCAACTGGCCCTCAAAGTTGTTGGGTAACTCACTAAAAAGGCAGTACTGAGCAGGAGTTGGAAAGAATCAGAACCTGCTTGAGAAACATTGGGGTTTTAAGATTTCTTCAAAATTAATGCAATTCTGACAGTACACACAATAGCACAGAGCAACAATGAGCTGATAAGTCAGTTTGGCTAATTAGTGTTCCAAAATCTAGTGTTCCATATCTATGGCAACATTATACTTGCTCTTTCTTGTATAAGTATGATCTGTTCATATGACTGAACTTAACATTTAATGACATTTTCCAAAATACTATGCAAAAGTTTATTAACTAGATGGATATCCTAATAGCCTATAGGATCTAGACAGTTCAATCATTTAGCCTATAATGTCTCTGCCTTCTTAAATAGCAACAGTAAGAGCCTATTAAAAGATTCTGATCTTCACATCTTGTAATTATGACAAAGACTTAAACATTAATAGTCATTACTCATGTGAAGAGATAAACTTTGACAAGATACAGGAAGTCTGCTTTAGGCTACATGATGTTGCCATGGATATAGTGTGTTACAGTGTGGTTGCTGTTTTTAGCCGAGGCTATAGGCCTGTTTGTTTACATGTTGGAACGCCAAGTACACCAAATTAGCTAGTGGCAGTACATTTTGCTACCAAGGAAGCGCTGTCAGAATTATGTAAATAGCCAACTGAAGTAATCTTCAAAAGCCGATGTTTCTCAAGCAGGTTCTCCTGCTCAGTACATGTATATAGTGTAGGCAGCATCGTTGCAGTCTGTTTGTTGTCTATATTTGTTTATGGTTTGGAACAGTAAGTATGCTGGGTAAGCTATTAACAGTTCACTTTTGCCATGCACTATTGGATGTACTGACAACTATCACTGAATTACTTCAATACTTCAGACACGTTTGGCAGCATTCCTACCCCACCATTCTCTCATAATTACAAGAAAAATATCATAATTATGAGAGAGTGAGTCATAAATACAATGGTAAATATAATGCCCATCCATAAAACATTACAAATAATTGATTGATGGAAGGCAAGAGTATATACAGGTTTCCTCTACCTGTGGGTTGACATCCAGGATGCAGATCTTTCCTGTTTCTATCACTTCATGTATTGAACTGATCTTTGTCCCATACAGGTTTCCGTCGTACTCGCCATGCTCCAGGAAACGGCCATTTTTTATGTCACACTCCATTTCGCTGCGGGTCATGAAGGAGTACATCTGGCCATCCCTTTCATCCACCTTTGGTTTTCTGGACGTGACTGCAGGATAAAGATCAATACAAACATGGAGATGGATTGGTATTTTAAACTGATCTCACAATAGAGTTCTCTGAGGAAACTTTAAAAAATCTGTGTAATTCAAATGCTTGAATAGTGCAAACACTAACAGGAAGAAATATGGTATAATGCAAGAACAAGTGAAAAAATCCATTAGAGACAGAGACAGAAACCAAAACGGATGAACCAATGTTAAACCCCCTGTGTCGTCTTGTTTTCCATATCCTGTGCTTTCGATGTGTTCATCTGCTATTTTGTTGCAATAAAAAAAGAAACCAAGATGGCAAAGAGACTTAATTTAAGGAGAAAACAATACACAAATAACATTAACACAGTGTGGAACAAATGCAACTTGAATCTAGTGGTTGTTGGATCCCTTACATAAGTAAAAGTAGCAATACAACAGAGTAAAAATACTCTTAAGTCCTACATTGAAAATGTTACTTAAGCACAGAAGTATTAGCATCGAAATGAAGTACTCGTTATGCAGAATAGCACATTTAACATTAATGCATATCAGCGGATTATAATTACTGATGCATTATTTATTACATTTAATGTTGCAGCTGGTAAAGGGAGAGCTAATGTTAAGTACCTTATATGCTTTTAATTTGAAATACTTGCTGGGTAGCTTGTGAATGTCCCACCAGGGATCAGTGAAGTTTTACTACATGTTTGTATTCATCTGGTTATGAAAAGTAACTAAAGCTAAAATAAATGTAGCAAAGTCGATGTATGATGAAGTAGCAGAGAATTAAAATACTCAAGTACTTAGTTACTTTCCACTACTGCTCACATGGTACCAATAAAAAGCCAAGACATCCATATGTGCTGTATCGGTGTAGTGTGATGTGATGGATGATTACACTCACAGGGGATGGTAGTGCCGTACCGCTGGGGCTCTGACACCAGCACCTTGTTCTTCAGACTGCGACGGCCCACCCCTTGTGCACCAATCAGAACCAACGTCTTCCTCCTGAAGGGTGGGACCTTGGCAACCTCTTCATAGATGCGCAACTCATGGCGATCGAATTCTAAACAGAATTTTTGTGAATAATTGAGGTGAACAGGATCAAACACAAAAACTACAGCGTTTTTTTTTTTCTTGTCAAATTCAATTAGGCTCAAACAAAACAGATGTTATAGGATGCATTGAAAGTTTAAGCACCTGCGTTCTTGGTGGTCAAATACATCATCTTTTTTTTCTTCTTACCACCCATGCCAGCACACAGAGGACCTGAGACAAACAGCAAAACACATTAAAATGTCCGGCCTTGGTGCTCATCTCGGCCATCCACTTTAACCAAGTCCCTTGTTAAAATGATATACTATCAAGGTGAAAGCTCTGCTGGGTCATAAATCCAAAACAGAGCGTGATAGTAAAAGACCACCACTAGGTGGCACTATGCACCAATACTGGTCCACCTATGCTACCAGTCTACCATCAGAGCACCTGTGACTTGGCAAACATGCAGTATGTTAATATAGCTGATTATTTGGCTGCTTGGGGAAATGTCTCATGTATAAAAATGTACACACAAGCAATTATGAGTCCAGATTGTTATTTTTATGATGAAATTCAACTCCTCAGGCTGCAACGCTGTGGCAATTGACAACTGAGGCTGTGCACCTTAAAGCCTGAGTTTTAATTATGAAACTGTTCTCATGATTTATGAATCAGGTCCACAATTTTCAGACCTCACCATCCAAAAGTATTCTGTTGAAAGCTTTTATTCTATTCCCTCTGTTAGGATAATATGTGGAAAATGTGCTAGCAGACAGTTGTGTCCTTGCCAGGCTCCAAGGGCAGTACAGCCAAGCTGCCATCTCCTCCACAAGTGAAGGGCATGTGTGTCTGGCTGTGGCTTGCCACCTGCTTTTGTTGCTGTTGAGGATTCTGTATGGAGCAAATAAATAAAAAATAAAACTTCCTCATTTTACTCTGCATCTCATACAAAAAGAGATGATTATTGATCAGGTTTGCATTTAGGTGGGTCTTATCACCACACCTTAAGGTTTGTGAACGTCAGGCTCTTAATAATCAGCAGATCAGATCAGGCCAGCTGAGTCATGCCAGTGCTCATTACCAGTTCTCCAGAGATTATTGACAGTAACAGACTGGAGAGGTGGTGAGCGGAGATGAGCAGACGGCACCAGCTGAAATGCTTGTATGATATGGAGCGGAGCAGATGTTGTCTTTGTGGCTGGTGTGTTTGTGCAGTGAGGAGTCGGTGTAGAATCTACATAATGACAGGTGCTTCTCTGCTCTGCTGCGTGCTGGCGAGAGGTGTACCTGTGGTAGCGAGCTCCAGATCTCTCTTCACAAACGCCTTCCTCTTTTCCTCAAGCAGCTGGCTGGGAATTAGACCTGCGCTGCCTCCCTCTATGTGACAGGCCTGCGAGGGAAACAAACAACTTCACAAGTCGGTGAACAAAAACAGACATTTTCAATCTCTCTTTTTAACAATCCTGTTGAGTCTGTATCTAGGTAAAAACAGTAGCGGTCAGATCCCTCAAGTAAAATATCAAAGAAACGGTATAAAAATACTCAAAGTTCTGCATTCAAGATGTTAAAATACAAAAGTATTAGCATCAAAAGTTAGTGCTCATTATGTAGAATGGCACATTTAACAATGTATATCATATTATAATTACTGATGCATTATTGTCTACATCACATTTAATGTTGCAGCTGGTAAAGGGGGAGCTTATATGGGTTTAATTTGAATTACTGCTGGGTAGCTTGTGAACTTCCCACCAGGGTTCAGTCGTATAATCATAATGTATTTTTGTATTAATCTGGTTCCAAAAAGTAACTAGTAACAGAAGTTATAAAATAAAAGTAGTGGAGTAAAAATGATGATATTTGCCTCTAAAATGTAATGAAACTGAAGTATGACGTAACAGAAAATGCTTAAGTACATATACCTGAAAATTGTACTTAAGCACAGTACCTGAGTAAGTGTACTTATTTACATTCCACTACTGGTTAAAAAGGCTGAGGGCTGTACTGACCTGCCACCAGTTGAGGTCCTCCTGATTGAAGATCTGCAGAATGTCCCCACTGCTGAAGCTTAGCCCAGCCTCCTTACAGGGAATCAGGTTATCATGAGATGGGTCGTAGTCAAAGTGACACTTTACAAAGGCCTGGGTGGAGAAAGAGATTGAAAACACAGAACATGTCAGTAAAACATCCCAAGTTAAAGAAATACAAATGTCTTTTGTAATATGGTAGAATTATAAAACTTTTGCTGAACCATTACCACGACACAGCCTTGCCAACATAAAGCCTAGTACATGTCTCAGCTCACTTTCTCAATATCAAGACTACAGGATTCAGCTCATAAACCAAACCTTGCATCCCAACCCCCACTGACAGGACACGGAGTGTGAGAGGCAGACAGAGAGAGAAATAAAGAGAGAGAGAGCCAAAATCTGTAGCCATGGCAACCATCCCCTCTCCCCTTGCACTTGACGCCTTTTCTCCTACTGATCTGATGCATGAACATTAAAAAAAAGCGTGCCAGGCCTTGTACTGTGTGCATTTCATCCCCCTGTAAGGCACAATAGACTGACACACACACACTTATGACACGCACAGTCTCCATTGGCCAAAGGGAGCTGTCAGTTGAGTTTAGTCACAATGCAGCAGCCAAGCTCCAGGCATGAAACACAGACAGCTGGATTACATTCAACGAGGACATTTCTAATCACTGCAATTCCTCATACAATGAAACATCCACCTACGTAGCTCTTAACTGTGGGAGCACAGCCAAATCACTCTTTAATGTCTCTGATAGACAGCCTCTATTAAATGTTCAAGTAGGCGCTTTGATAGCTGGAACCAATATTACAATCAAAGGGGCTATTGGGGCTGTTACATATTTGCATACTCTGGTCTTCAGACAATATATTGTAGAAATGTCTCCTTACAGCAGGTATTCACCTTCTGAATTGTATGAAAAGAGCACTGACCCAGAACAGACTCCTTTCAATGAATAACTTACAGAAAATGTACGTGAAGGCTGCTGGCCCCAGTTTCTGCAAGTCTCACCAGAAAGGTAGGTGCAAAACGACAGCTGGTAATGTGTTTTACAACAACTACATTACTAATGTCAACTGCAGTCCTTTCAGCATCAGTTTTGCTGGTTTGTATGCTTTGATTTCATTTCAAGGATTATGCTGTTCTGCTCCAGGCCGAGGGAATTCTCTCATCTCTTGAGCTAATTTAAACGAATAACCAGACGACAGCAGTGCTAGTGCCTCTGTGACGCTTTACTTAAACAGTGCTTTGAGCCAAATATGGTAATGCCAGCCTGGCAACATGCACACAATGACAATGCTAACCTACCTACAGGTATAATGCTAACATGTTCAACTTTAACACTAGAAACAAAATTTGACTGATGGGAGTTTTATAGGCATTTACCAAAACATTAGACAAGTTAAAATTCTGTGCTGATGAGATAAGAAAGTCAAAGTCATTACAATTTGTCTTGCAGGGGACATATACAGGATGTCTTTACCCATTTTTATGGCTACCCATTCAATCGGTAAAGGCATTTTTACTATCTGGTATCTATCTGGTGCTGGAGGAAAAGTCAGGACATTATGAGTTTCAGTGGGAAACATCCTCAGGGCACCATGGATACCTTTACCAAATTATATGATAATCTCTGGTACAGTTACTCTTTCAACCCTTTCTTGTACATTATGTTCTAGTATATTTGATGCAGTGTAAGGAATTAATTTTGCATGGATTCTTTCAGTGCTACTGTTTCTTTTCTCTATGGCTGAGACCAATCTTTTCTAGGTGTTTTTCAGCTGTGGGGAAAAATGTGAGTACTTTCCTACAATTATGTTACAAAGTACAAAAGATGTGG